CGTCAGCACTGAGGGCTGGAAACCGCTGACCCAGCGGCGGCCGCAGCCCTGCATCCGCCTCGTTGGGAAGCGGCTTTTTAGCAAAACCTCCCGGACTCACTGGTCTCTGAACAGCGTCCAGCCCCTTCCTCCCTCTTTCCATTCAAAGAATTTCCAACCCCATTTCCTTCTGCAAACACCTCTGAACGGGGGCATGTGTGGGTAGCATGCCGGTGGCCATGCTTCTGGTGGTGTGCGTGTGCGTGTGTGTGTGCGTGTATGTGCGCGTGTGTGTGTGTGTGTGCGCACACGCGCGTTTAATATGACGCCTGTCCTGTTTCTGTGCTTGAAGCAACCTTTTACGGGCATGAGCACGCAGCCAAGTCCCAGCTGGCAGTCCTGCGAGCAGCCCGGCCCCGCGCTGTGCCCGCCGCCAATGCTGCTCCAGCAGAAACACCGCTTTGTACTGGGGCCTGAGCTTTGGGGCGAAAGCAGGAATTTTCTGACCCACAGGCAGCCTCAGAGCCACGGCGCCGAGTGCACAGGCGGGAGCAGTTCAGAAACTTGGTTGTCTTTGGGGGAGAGAGAGAGACAGAGAGACAGAGACAGAGAAAGAGAGACGGAGAGAGAGACAGAGACAGAGACAGAGAAAGAGAGACAGAGAGTTCCGATGGCCAAAAAACAGCCTGGGCCCCAAATACTCGCTGTTAAAAGGACTCAGATAACCAGAGTTCCCGTTGTAACAGCTCTGGCCTGGGCTGTGGAGCCTCTGGCCGGTGTTCATGCCGAGAATCACTCCACGTCCGAGCTGAGAGGGGCGGCGTTCTCTTAAGACCACAGTGTGGGCCCTGGGGAGAGAGGGGGCAGAGAGCAGGAGGGGGTCGGAGGGCGCTGGGTGCTGGCGTTCCCCGACTTCTCGACCGGGTGAGCTGACACCACAGCCCAGGGTTCCCTCTGTGGACGGCTGTGTGTTCTGTGCACAATCCTCTGTTATCTGTTTTACTTAAATTTTTTTGAATTTTTTTTAGACCAGCCAGTGTGGCTCAGGAGTTGAACATCGAGCTATGATCCAGGAGGTCACAGCTCAATTCCTGGTGGAAGAGAGACCGAAACATCAGTGATGAGAGAGAATCGTGGATCGGCTCTCTCCTGCCCGCCCCCCACTGGGAATCGATCTCACAACCTGGGCCTGTGCCCCGACCGGGAATCCAACCATGACCTCCTGGCTCACAGGCGGACGCTCAACCACAGCCACGCCGGCCGGCCCACGTCGGCCTTTATATGCACATTAATTCAGCTTTGTTACGAGGCTCCAGTCCCCCGAAACGTCAGGCCAACAGACCCCAGGAGCTCCCTCCTGGCGCCCACAGAGCCAGGCCCCAGGCCCCATTTTGGCCTGGGCTCCCACAGTAACACTGGGCTCCCACGCTCCCATGCTGGCCGCCGACTCCACACCCTCCTGTCAACGAGATCCACAGCCCTGCCCTGCCGGCCTTGGCCCGGGGGAGGCCGAGCCGTCCCGCCGCCTTTCTCTCGTGGGGCTCACAGGGTTAAATACAAATAGAGCCACCGTCCACCTGCGGAGACGTATTATCCAACTGAGTCCACGTCGGCCCGACACCAGGCAGCGAGCGGCCTGTCTCACCAGACGCCGTGCAGACCCAGACTCGGCGGCGCTGGCAACGCTGACGGGGGGAGACACCGCTTTCGTCAGTGCTGCCGGGACCAGTGACCACAGGGCGCCTGCTTCCTACAACGCAAGCGGCTGGGACGTGCGCTGAGAAGCTGGGCCAGCCCCTCGTTGACAGCGAGGAAGCCCGCTCCCCATCTCGCCTTTTCGGGGCAAAGGTAACCTCTGACCAGAGCGCCCGGCACCACGCCCCACGGTCCTCGCCACCGAGCGCGTGACATGCAAGGGGCGGTGCTTGCAGAGGGGGTGTCGCAGGGCAGGCGTGGCTACCGGTCCTACCCAGAAGCCCCAGGCAGTGTCCCACACACAGCCCAGCGACGGGGCCACCTGGATCCCAGCACCCCTCTACCCTCCTCCACTGCCTGCTGGGGCCGCAGAGGCTGGAACCTCAAACCACATCCCCAGACTCCCCTGCGACGAGGATTCCAGGGGTGATTTAGCCTCAGCCAATCAGATGCAAGCAAGTATGACTGGAAGGTGGAAGTGGGCGAAAGTCATACTTGTGTGGACTGTCGCTACCCATCAGCGTGGCCTTGCAGCGGGTCAGATCCCGGCAACGGGACCAGGGGTCAGAAGGCAGAGTGTGGGGCACCGTTTCGCTGCCGTGGAGCTGGTGGAAGCAGGGGGCCTCTGGACGGCCCGTGCCTGTGGCTCCTTTGCATGGAAGAACCTGTGTGGCCCGGCCAACGTGGCTCAGTGGTTGAGTGTCGACCTAGGAACCAGGAGGTCACGGTTCAATTCCCCATCAGGGCACAGGCCCAGGGTTGCAGCTCAATCCCCAGTGGGGGGCGTGCAGGAGGCAGGCGATCCATGAATCTTTCTCATCATGGATGTGTCTCTCTCCCTCTCCCTTCCTCTCTGACGTCAGTATAATAACATCTATTTAATTTTTTAAAAAGAAGAGCCCTGTTTCCTTGGTGTCGGCGGGCACTCTGGGATCTGGGCCTCGTCCCGAATGGTCAGCTGGATCCTGTTTCCTCGCCTTCCCAGCGAGTCTGTGAGCCACTGAACACGGAGAAACACAAAACAAGGCCTCCTGGGTAAACACACGGGTTGATTCTTTTTCGGCCACAGAAATGGGAGGGTCGGGCTGGGAGGAGGCCTCACCCGAGTCACTCGGCTCCACTGCGCCCTCCACGCAGCCGGAGACCCAAGCAGCCTGCCCAGAGCCCGGGTTCCCGCCTGGCCGGGGAGAGGGGCGCTGTCTGGGGGAGATAAGGCGGAGCCTGAGAGAGTGGAGATAGAGCGGGAGCGGAGGAGGGAGAGGCTGGAGGGAGCCCCGCGTGAAGGCCAACCCAGGCCTGGGCCCCAGAGGCCAGTCTTACCCCAAACCCAGGGCCCCCGCCCAGGCCGAGGACAGAGTGGACGTAGGGGGAGGAGCAGGTGCCCAACCCGCCATTGCCAACCTCAGCAGAGTGAGCCTGGGCGGGCGTCCCTGAGCGGCAGGAGAAATTGGGGCGGGAGTGGGGCTCCCCACTCATTGTCACGTGGGCAGGTGACGCGTCCCAGCCTCGGTTTCCTCCTGGTAACTCGTGGGGGGTGGGACGGCGAGAAGAGTGGGACAGGGACAGACGCAGCTCACGGGTACGGCCCCTCGGGGTCGAA